CGCGACATTACGGAAAGAGCGTCTGTCAGTCACGAAATGACGTTGTTATCGAGTAAATGTCACGAATCATTTGTGTCATGTTACGATCACGTATCAAATTGCGGAATAAAACGATAATTTGCAATAACTTCGTTCAGTTATTACCGCGACGGCATTGTACAGCCTTTATTGATATTGCTGTGTCAAGTGGCAACTGTGATATTATCCGTTTTAATATGAATATTCGGCAAATGTACTGTTTGAATCGGAACGCATCTCCGATCAGAATTTTGTATGAAAATAATTTAGCAGTTAATTAAATTCGCACTATTTAACGCTTTCGACATTTCGTGCGATTCAACATACATCTTACATTGACATACATAAATATATCGGTGAATTCAAGCTGCAACCCATTCAAAATCATCAATACTGTACAAATTTATTTTAAATTAAATTTAATTTAAATGCATCTCCATTATTATTATTTAAAAATTAATGTATATTTAATAATTTGAAAATTATTTACTGCAGTTATTGAAAAATTTAATTATTATTTAAAAATTAATTATTAACTAACAGATTTCTTTTTTATATATTTTGTACTATTCTTGAACCGCAGTATATATTTTGATTAATTTTTCACAAAACTAATATTTTTTTCATTTAAAGTGAGACATATTGATTAAAAAATTATATTTTGCAACATTACATTTATATTTATATAACTTAACTGGTTTTTCACGGACGTAAGATTTCCCGCAAACAAAAAAAAAAATTTCGCATTTGAGAGACTCGAGGTGCGATGGTACGCCCTGCTTTTCGATTTCCACGTTTCCGATCTCATTGCTTGTATATCCTGTTGGTTTGCCGTTCCGCCACGTCGTCGCGATGTACACGAAAACCTCGAATACGAGGAGACTACGACGGAGCAAGGATTTCGTTAAGCCGCAAATCGGCCCCACGTTCCGTCCGTTATACATTACTTCGCTCGACAGCCAATTCGATCCTCGTAAATATCGTCTTTATTGAGCAACACCATAAAATCCGGATCATCGTTCGGGCACGAAACCTTCGTGTGTTTCATCGCGAAAAACACTTCGACCTTTTGCCATGTGTGAAACGTACGTATTCACACGGCGTGCGTATTTATTTATTTACCGTTGCATTTGATGGTAAAGATTTTCCTGCTACCTATTTCAATTTCGAAATTGCACCTAGCCGCGCAACTCTACATCTCAACCCGATTTGGCTTCAACTAGAGTTTTGCATCAGATAACGATGCTGGTTACACAAAACGTGTGCCATTAACCATCAATTAGCCAACTTCGTCAAGTTCCCAATCAGCTTTATCTAGATCGGGTACCAGCAAATAATTGCAACCGTAAATTAGAGTTATTACGCTCTCACTCACTCTCGCTTACTAATGTCGTCGATTTTTTTTCTTTTTTACTTTATCTTCACGGTGAACGTTGAGTTCAAATTTCCTAATATCGAACTTGAAAAACGAGACTTTTTCCTGTAAGCGTTTTTTTCCCGCAAAAACAGAATGCGATTACGGTTAGTGGAAAATGGGCTTTTGGAAAAGAGCGTATGCCGAACCGGTCGTGCTGCCTTTATTGGATTTCATACCTACAGGGCTACGAGTTGAGAGAGTCGACTCTGGGTTGGCAGTACTGTAAACAGATTTCTCCAACAGCGTGATTGCATCGCGCCGTAAATAGCGTTTCTTGCACGACCGCGAATTTCTTTTCGTTGTGACATTATCGAGTTACGCAGAGTGTCGTGTTTTGCATAACGCGACGGAACAGTCGAAAGCGTTTCTACCGCATAAATTTCAATGGACGGCGGGAATATTGCATTTTATTTAACCCGGTATGACTTATTAATGTCGTCGCAAAAGTGCCTCGGTTCGATTTTTCTCACACTAGTTTTAACAATAACTATAATCGCGTATTTGAGAATATTTTAAGTGCACAATTTTTAAATATCTAAACTAAAACTTTTATGCTGTATTTATATACTTCTAACTACAGTTAAATATAGTGGAAAAGTTCTTTTTATTTGGGGACAAAGGGATTTGGGGCAAAGTTACTAATGAAGGCAACTCAATCGCGAGACAAGTCGAGGATAGAAAACCGTGATCCTCGAGCGAGAGAGAAACGGCATTCCGTTTGAAGGAGCCGCGGTTTTATCTCAGCGGGCGATATTTTAGTTTTAACGGTATACAATTGCGGTGTTCCGCGTCGCCGTAAAATGTAGCCGCGGCATCGTCGCAGCAGTAAGCGCCACGAAAACGGGCTTTCCAAAACCATTCTTCGTCCGCCCAGCAACGGATCATTTCCTTGTGGGGTTACGGGGGGCTTTAAATTCTCTTAAAGTCCTGACATTTGCCGAACGAGCTGCGTTTACTACGAGTGAACGCTCTTTCGCGAATAAAATGATACAGTGACCTACTAAAAGCGCGCGAGCTGTGTACATTCCCGGATAATCTATGATCCGCAATAAAAAAATTAGGATTTATAGTTGCCACGTTCGAGGGAAAAAAAATTACGTCCCCCCCGACATTCGCACAAATCAAGGTGCCGTTTTCATATTGCTTGTTATTTATTGTCTCATGTATTAAATTGTTGCGCATGAAATGACTATCTTTCATATTTTTAGGTTGATATAGATGAGTTGAAGCTGTAGCTCTGCTAGTATTCTTTTTTGTTGCTTTATAATTTCAGAATCTGTTGGCTTGAAAAACAAATTTCATGTGTGCTTTTTAAGCACTCGTCAAACATGATTTTAACATAGCAGAAAACATAAAAATTTCAATAGAATTTTGAAGTAGAATTTTAAGCATAAATACACGAGCTGTGATTTCCAAAAATATCGTTAATCTGAGAGAGAGAGAGAGAGAAAGCTTTAGAAAATTAATAACTTATTAAAATCGGTCGAATAGCTAATCAGAATTAACAGTGCAATTTTTATCAAGTCAGAATTTTTCGCAGTTAAGTAAGATATGCATTTTTCTATTATTTCTTAACTTAAAATTATATAGGGAAATTTTCAAGTAATCAATAAAGCTGCAGGAAGCATTTCATATGCAATAGATTAATAATTTCCATAGTGATAAAGGTACTACCTGGAGATGGATAATATTATAAATAGTTAAAGCGTTTATTATACTCTTGGGTAACAGTCGCTCTACAGCTCTTGCACGAGAACATTAATTAGCGATATTATTATTGGTAGGAATGCATACGCGATAATTGCATAATAATGAGCATTAGCTAATTCTGTGATAATTAGAATTAATATAAGTAGCAGTGTATAGATAAATGATAATGCGAGAAATAAATCACGTAAAGTTAAAATACAAGGAAGATTAGAAGTTGAGGAGATCAAAGCTATATTTTACGTCTCTTAGTTTTTTTATGATAACGGCTTGGATATTTTTTCATGTAAAAAAGAAATAAAAGACATAAAAAAGCAGCTTTGTTACGCTAACAAGCAGAAATAAAACAAATCGTAACGTCCACACGAGTTTTGACAGCAGTGATTTTACAACGGACAAGCACAGTTCGCGTATAGTGAAAAAATAATAATAAAATATGGCGTATGATCTCCAATTACACGCGCACGGTAGATTATACGGCGTAGTCACGCACTTAGCGTCAGACGCATCGGCTAACGAGAGAACGCCACTTGGCGAGGGCGCTTAACTGTGCGGGATACTCGTCGCGAATGCAAACGGGCGTGCCCTCAACCCCCTTAAACGCGAGCGACGTGATATCGCAGCCAGGACGCAGTTTTACTCCATCGCCCTTCGCTTCTCGTCCCTTCGTGTCGCCGCTCCACTCTCAGTTCCGCCGTGTGAAACGAACATGTCGTGATTGCACTTTCGACGACTGCGACGTAGACGCGAATCCAACAATCCGCGCTTTACGCAGCGACACGCTTCTTTCCCTTCCATTTCATAACATTGTTTATACATTCTCGTGGATATAAAATTTTAATTCCGGCGAATGTTGTTAAAATCTCAATCAAAATTTTGGTACAATAGAATCGATTAAAGCTGACGCGAACATTAAAAATTCACAACAGAATCTTGCATGTTGAAAGTTGAACTATAAAAATTTTCCTCTTATTTTTTATTAAGAAATTATCACACATGTTTTTTGAACATTATAATATGTGAAATAATTAATTTTTTTAATGCGTATATTTCCTGTAATTTTTGAAAATTTGATACGAAGAGAATATTATTTTCTGTATCATCGATTAAATTCAATTTTACATAT